GGTCCAGGTGCGTCTTCATGTCGGGCCGCAGGTGGCGGGAGGTGGCGAAGCGCAGCCGCTCCTCAGGGTCCATCTCGCTGTACAGCGCCTCGCAGCTGGCCCGCAGGTTCTGCAGCCGCAGCTGGCTGGCCCGCTGCTCCCACACGGAGCGCGCCTTGGCCGAGTTCTGCTGCCTGCTGTGGGGAGACCGGCATGAGCGGAGCCCCCCCAGCCGCACCCTCTCCCCAGCTCTCTGCCTCGCAGGGGAAGCCACAGATGGACACAGCGATGGAGGGATGGCAGAGGGCGCAGGAGGAGGGGACTGGGGAGGGCGGCAGGAGCCCTGGACACCCTGGCAGTCTATGCAGATACCCAGGGTAACAGAATCAACACTGCCCGCCTCGGGGTTGGGGTTGGGGCACCCGGAGACTGAGAGTGCCAGCGGGGACCAAAGGTGCAGGGCAGTGGGAATGATCGGCACCAGCATGATGTGGCAGACCAGCTACCAGGGCGGGGGTGGGAGGGGTGGGGTTGGCCTGCCTGCCAGGAAAGCCAAAATGGGGACAGAAGAGGGCAGCAACCAAATGGAGCAGGACTGAGGAAGAGGTAGGAGGCGGGGAGCCCCTGCAGCACGCAGCAGAGAGCAGAGCTGCTCGAGGAGGGGCTTCTCCATCTCCACCCCAACAAGGGAAGCTACTGGCCGGGAGACAGGGCTGTTGGAGAGGGAACCCTACAGGAAGCAGTCATCAGGAGCAAAGTGGACAAGAGCCCAGGGAGTGAGGGCCTGGGCAGCTGGCCCTCTCAGGAGGCTGTGCGAGTCGTGCTGGGACTCTCCCTGAGGTGGTCAGTCCCCCAGCTGGGCAGCTGCCCCTCAGCTCAATGACCATTTGCTCCCAGGAGCCCAGCCGTCAGGGCTGGGGCGGGAGGCATCACCTCTGGTGGTCACCAGTGCCCTCTCTGCTGGCTCCATGGAGAACCCCTCCCTACAGGGCTGAGAGCTGCACAGTCCACGAGCCCTCTGGTGTCAGGAGTGGCCCGTGGTCCAGGCTCTGGCCTCACTGCATAGGCTTCCAGAGGCCTTGCCTGCCCTCCAACCTCACCCCACGGCCACACGTGGGGTCCACAGCCCAGGGTGCACGGGGAGCCCTTTGCACTGTGGGGTGTTTGCTGAATAAGGCCCCCAGAGTTGGTGACCCCAGCACCACCTTGGCCAAGTGGAAACCTCCTCTGAGGCCAGTCTCATCCTTCAGCCTCTGGAGATTTCTGGACCCCTGTCAGGGCAGCAGTGGCAGGATAAGAACAGTGACGGCTGTGGCACCTGGATCAGCGGCCACTGTGTCCAGCCCTCACAGCTACCTCAGGGATTCGGTGCTGCTCTTGTCCCCATGTCACACTGAGCCTAGAGGACGTGGCTCACAGAGGGTCCACAGTGAGTTGTGACGGAGCCAGGATCGGACGCATGCAAGGGCAAAGGGGGAAAGTGCCTAAAGAGACGCAAGGCTTTGTCAGGCCCCCACTGCACAGACAGCACAGCCTGGAGTCACGGCCGAGGGCCCTGGCCACTGAGCACCACCGAGTCCTGCCCCTCTGTAGGTTTGGTCCAGGCTCCAGGGTGGGGAGCCGTTTCTGGGGAAGCACTTCGGAAGTATGAAAGCACAAGACTGGATGCCTGTCCTTCACTGGGGCCCAGATGACATGTGGGGGACAACTGCCAGCCCCCTGGCCATCCACTGACCCACAACCTTTGATGACCTGCCTCTCCAGCATCAGAGCCATGCTGCCCCAGTCCTGAGGTCACCTTGCAACAGACCCACCTTCTCTCTCTTTGGCTTCAACCCAGAACCACAGGGAGCCACCAGGCTAGCAGGCTCTCCTCCTAACTTCCCAGGGGCAGCCTGTGCCACCTCCCTGCTGCGGCTCTGCCTGGTCCTGGTCCTGCTCCTGCTAGGTCTCTGCCTCCCTGGGCCCTCGCACCACCTAAGACTGTCTGCACCCACCGCCCCCCAGCAGTGCCGCTGGCTTCCCCTCTGGATGTGTCTCTGAGTCTGTGTGCGGCCTCTCCGCACCTGCCCGGTTGCTGTTCTGTCCTTGCTCCGTTGGCACATGCAGCAGTGTGGCCAGCACCCACCTCTCACTCTGAACCTCTCCTTCACAAGCAGCTCAACAATGTGAGTATGGGCCCGCCACCTACAGTGCAGTGTGGCAGGTGACTCTGATTCGGGCAAAGTCCTCCTCTAAAGGGCTCTTTAAGGAGCCACAGGGCAGGGCCACCCCACGAGGTTCCAGCCCCAGCACAGACGCCCAGATGCAGACGCCGTGGGCGGGATGCCGGCAGGACTCAGAAGAAGCCTCTGTGGTGTGGCCCTGCTTCAGGGTCTCTGCACAGAGAAAGCCGGTCACCCATCGTCACCCACAGCTGCGACAACGTGCAGCCACCTGGAGCAGCACCATCGATGCATCGACACATCAGTGCAGCACCATCATGAGATGTCCGCGTCCCGTGCCACCCTGTGAATCAGTCATTCGGTATCCAGTGCTCTTTCCCCAGGGACATCAGGGGCCCCGAAGCCAGCGGCTCCCAGTGCTCGTGGGAGGGCCCAGCCCAGCTCTGTGCTGACAAGAGGGAGCAAAGGGCTCAGGGAGGCAGGAGCTCCCACCACTGCTGGGGCACAGAGGGCCCCGGCCATCTCCAGGGACCTCTCACCTGCAGGGCCTGGCCTCACCCTCAACAAGGAGCCCCTGGGGACAGTCAGGCCAGAGTCACCCACAGCAGAGCCACCCTGGGGTTTCTGTGGCTCTACCTCAGGCTTCAGCTGGCCTCGCAATCAGACGGCAGCTCTGCTCCTGACTAGAACAAGGACTTCCTAAGGGCCAGAGACATCCCCGCCCATGTAAGGGAGTGCAGCAGGAGGACCCACGACTGTCCTAAGTGAACCCCTGATGGACGCTCTATTCAAGGCAGCCACGAGGAGACGGCCCACAGCGGCGCCCAGTGATGGTCGCCTCAGGAGAAGCAGATCTGCTCAAGACACCAGAGTGACCGCACAGGGACAGACAGCAGACAAGAGGACGGAGACCAGGAGGGAGAGGAGGGGCGAAGCTGAGAGAGCCTGACCCCGTGAGCAGGACACGGGTACGTCAGGAAGTGTGCCCACCACCCCGGCCAGGCTGCAGACGGCTTGCCAGGAGCTGCCCCCGAAGCAAGTGACTTGAAGTGGGAGAGCGAGTTAGAGGCGGGGGTGCTGCGTGTAGTTTCGTGAAGCCACAGGCGGGGGTCGTAGCAGAGAGACTCACGGTGAGTTTATGCTGGAGACGGATGAGCTGCGAGATACAGTACCTCGTGTTTGCTTTACAAAACTGCACATGCAAGAAACAAAACAGAACACAAGTGAGAACACCAGAGAGCCCTGCGAGACACTGGACACGCGTGAGCCACGCCAGACCAGGGCGCGGCTGCAGCGTGCATCTGGGCAGGAGGCCGGGGCGCTTCTGTCAGAATGGGCGCCAGCCAAGACCTCGGGGTGAGACAGAGGCTGAGAAAGAGAGAGCAGCAGGCAGAAAAGCAGCCCCAGGGCAGGAAGATGAGCAGCGTCACCCTGGGGCCTGTCCACAGCGCGCGCGTGCACCCCCGGAGGGCAGGGGGGCTGGGAAGGGCTCACACCGCTTGTCCCACAGCCCCAGACGGCCCCCACCAGACTTGGTGCCTGGGGACACAGCGCCGGGGAGGGCTGAGCCTGCGGTCACCTGGCCTCCAAGACAGAGCAGAGCCGGCTGACACGAGGGCCTCCCCTGCCTCCTGGCTGCCCTACTCAGCCCCCGGCTCCGCAGGCTCTAAGACGGCTGCTTCCAGCTCACGTGGCCCTTCCCAGGGGCAAACAGGATCCATCACCAACCCGCCTCCCCCTGAGTGTCACTTCAGTCACTTCCAAGTGTCTTTCTGGAAGCATTTCCAAAACCAGTAGAGAAACCAGAGATCTCTTTACAATTGTTCCCCTTCAAAGTAGCTTCCCCCAGGGAGGGCCAGGTGGGCCCCAGCCGTGCCTTCTTAAGGCTGAGTCGACACACTTGTAAGGAGCTCAGAACAACTCACTCGCCTACCGGCCCCGAGTGCAGACACGCATGGGTGTGCAAGGGAGTGAGCAGATCAGTGTGTGTAGCCGAGTGTGTAAGCTTGTGAACGAGTGTATGAGTGGGTGTGAGCTGTGAGATTGTGTGAGGTTATGAGCATGTGTGCGAGACTGAACACGTGAGAGAGCGTGTGAAGGTTAAGAGAACAAGGCTCAGAGTGAATGTGGATGTGTGTGAATGTGAACCTGTGGGTGCGCATGTGTGCGTGAACATGTGTGACTGATTTTGATCATGTGTGATCGTGTGTGTGATCGTGTATGAGTGTGAATCATGTGAGTGTGGGTGTGTGATCGTGTGTGACTGTGATGTGTGAGTGTGAATGTGTGTGATCACGTGTGTGTGATCATGTGTGATCATATTCATGTGAGTGTGGATGTGTGTGATCACGACCGTGTGAGTGTGAACGTGTGTGATCGCGTGTGGTGGCATGTGAGGGAACCGCGTGTGGTCCAGCCCTCACAGGTCCCAGTGATGGTGAGGCTGACACAGCCGAGAGAACCAGGGGGACCACACCAGCCTGAGTTCCTTCCCTCCCAGGAGCCTGACGTGAACATCCCCTGAGGCCGACCGTGGGGGGCGCAGGTGCCCTCCAAGGTGGGGTCCTGCTCGGAGCCTCGGCCCCTCGGGCACAGTCGATGGAGCCTCTTAGACACCACTGGTGGCACCCTCAGCATCCGAGGCTCCCAGAGAACACGTTGGCTCCGTCCCCACCTCACAGACCTCACAGCGTGGCTCAGGGGCCAGGTCAGGGCGGGGTCCCTCGGGGGACTGCTCTCCCATCACCTCAGCCCCTTGGGCATAGAAGTGAATGGGGGGAGGCAGGTGCTGCCCGTCCATCCCACAAGACTCCCCAGGAAAGCAGGAAACCGTCGGGGCAGACAGGACAGAAGGACACCAGGAGCAGCGTCTCTGGCCCTCCGAGTTCTCAGCAAACAATCACACGACGCCCTCACACCTACCACCCTCCACGCCCTGGACCAGGCCCCCCGTGGCAGGGGATCTACGGGGGTCACGTCAGACTGACTGCGTGTCCCAGAGTGGGCTGAGGACATGGCCCACAGCTGGCCCAAGAAGGGGAGGCGGGGCCGACACCTGGACTCACCCCAGGCTGGCCCTGACGCGGATCGGCCGCGCCAAGCCCAGGACCCGCTGTGAGGCGGGGCACCTTCCTGTCCCCCGGGAAGCCCATCCCAGAGAAGAGGAGCACCGCGGTGGTGAGCGTGTACACCCGAGGCCGGGGGTGCAGCCCTATGGCCTTGCCCGCACAGCAGCCTCCCGGACAGGGTCGGGGTGGAGGGCCAGGAAGAGCCCCCAGCCCCCTTCCTGGTATCCTGACACGCTACCCAAGTTGTGCCGAGGTCTCTGCCCAGTTGGCAGCGGACGCCCCACCACACCATCCCCAACATCCCCAGGGTGCATGGGCAGCCCTGGGCTGCAGCAGGGAACACAGGACAGTGCGCTCCCCTCCAGGAGAGGGGCAGACATCACACCGAAACCCCACAAGGCCCACGTGAATACACGGGTAAGTCACAGGCCCCCACCATGTCCTCTGCACAGCAGACCGCCAGCAGCTGGCACAGCTCAGAAGGGGCCGTGGCAGGAAGTCGGCCGCATCACAGGAAGCCCAGGACCAAGCCGACCGAGGAGCTGCCCTGGCCAGACAACAGAACTCCAGAACAACTGGGCACTGCGCCCCAGGAGCTGTGCAGTGGTGGCTGCTGTGTCCTGCCTGGCTCCCTGCACCCCTCGCACCCCTGCCTGGGCTCCCAGGGCCTGGAACCTCCTCTCGCTGCTTCTCCCCCAGCGGCCCCGCTCTCCGCTTGGCTTAGAGACAGGTCCTCTGCAAACACCCTCCTAGAAAACAGGCCGTGGCCCCGGTGACTGCCGGGTGAGACCAGGGCTCAGACGCACCCTCACACGTGTGCGTGCACACTCCCGCTCCCCCAGATGCACCCACGTGCCAGCACACACTCACCGTGCCCAAGCCTGTCCCCACAGAGGGGCCCAGGCAGCCTGCTCCCTGACCCCAGAGCATACAGGAGAGGGAGGCAGCTGTGGGGACGGGGCCCAGGGACCAGTACGGGAGACGGGCGTGCTGGGGGTGAGCGCGGGGCTGAAGGCAGGGCCAGCAGCTCCAGGGTGGACTCGGTCTGGCCCCAGGCCCTTCTCTGCTCCCGTGGTCACCCTGGGACCAGGCCTTGGGCCTCACTCCCCTGCCTTCCCCCACGCCTCCTTCCCCTGGGGCTGATCTCCCGCAGCCCACTGCAGCTTTTGGTCCTGGGCTGGGCACTCGGTCCCAACTCCCAAGTCTGTAGTCCCCCAAAAGTGCTTCTGCAACGTGCCGTGAGGCTCAGCTGGACCTCGGGGCGACCCGAGTCCCCCACGGAAGTCTCGCCCCACCGGTACTGCCTCTCATCAGAGAGGCTCCCTCTGACCTCTGTCCCAGCACCAAAAACTCAGGCCCTTTTGGAAACTGGGCTGATGAAGCACTACTGTGAGTCTGCTGGCTCACAAAACATTCTGAAACGCTGCACAACAGACGCATTAATTCCTAGCTCCCTGCCCTGGGGGTGCCCGTGGAGCCGCCCAAGACTGCTGAGGAGCAGACGCCTTGAAAACACCACTCCCACCCACAGCCCGGCCACACGCGCCCCAACCCCAGCGAGGAGCAGGCTTCACCTGGTGGTCTCTTCACCCAGAGGTCCCGCAGGGGAGGGGCTCTGTCCCACCCAGCTCCAGCCAGGGCCAGGGCCCTCTGAGGAAGCCTCAGGAAGGAGTGGGACTCCACCGCAGCCCCGCCACCACCCACAACCCGCTCAAGAGCCTTACGCGGCGATGGAGATGTTCGCGGCAGACATGGGGCTGACTTCGGCCACCTCTTTGGCCTTTTGCAGAGCCAGCTTCTGATTGGCTGCTTCTTCCATCTCCTCCTCATCCTGTTTGAATGGACAGAAGCACACAACCAGCTTCAGAGTGCTGCGTCCACCCTGACGCCACCAGCTCTTCCACCTGGAGCCCCGAGTCTTTCCCGTCCCCTGAGCTGGCGGGGCCGGGCAGCTGGCTCCTCGTTAGCACAACCCCCCACGCGCCAGCACTGAGCACCAGTCCCCCACGAGCTCTCTAGTGGCCTTCAGGGACCCCCTTCTTCACTGCTGCTCAGGCGACAACCCCAAGGTCTCTGTCTCAGCACTTGCTCCCCGAGCGCCACCTCCCAGAACCCACAGCTGACGACGGCCCCACCTGGAAGCTCCAGCCACAGAGACCCAGCTGCTGCCTGGACCCTCCTGGGTGTCAGTCTCCAGCACTTCAGAATCATTCCATCCAAATGCAAACCCATCCCTCCTTCATCCCCACCAGCTCCCCTCCCCTGAGCACTTGGAGAATCAGCTTGGCTCCAGAGCTGTGAGCGAGGGCAGGGGGCAGGGCTCCACTGCCCAAAGAAACTGTCCCTAGGAGTGGACAGCAGGGCCATCTCACAGCCCAAGCCTTCCCCCTGGACCCACCAGACCACATCTGTCCACCTGTCCACGCTGTGACTGAGCGGCCCCTCCTGCTCCCCTCACACCTGGACGGCCACGTGCAGCACCTGGCCCTGTGTTCCTGTCACCACCGAGTTCCTGGGGAGGACTCCATGGCTCTCTGCCACCAGGGCTGGTGTGGCTCATGTGTGCCCTGTCTCTGCTCTCCCCATGGGGAGGGGAGTGGACATCGGGACAGACCCTCCAGCCCCAACTCCACATCATTAGGCAAAACCAACATGCTCTGCTCCTGGGATCCAGATAAGCAGTTCCAGGCTGAGTCCACAGGCCCCGGGAGGAGGCTGAGGTCTCCGTGTCGTCCAGCTGGACTGCTGGGACCACCCTGACTGCCCCCATCACCCCAGTCCCAGGCCCCCTGGCTCTCCTGGGAGCCGGCGTTCCCCACATGTCCCGGAACGTTCTTGAATCTGCTTTTAGAGGCGCAGAAATGGCACAGTGTCCTCTGTCATCTGCCTGCAGATTTCTCACCACGGAGAAGAGACCGCCAGGCTTCAGGCCCAGAGAGGAGGGAAAGCTACATCCACCTGAAGCTCCAGGGAGCCCTTCCTCCCGCTGCGGACTCCACCTGCTGTGCGGCCCTCTCATATCGCTTCACTGGGTGTTCTACAGACTCGACCTGGGTAGCTTCGACTTCAGAAAGTCAATGACGCTGCAGTATATTTGTGGGAATATAAAGGAAGGAGAGCCCAGGAACTCCCCGCAGCCTGACAGACAGGCCTCTACCTGCTCCAACTCCCAAAGAAAGGGAAGTCCTGAATTAGGGCAGTTTGCCCCCAGGGGCCTCCACACAGGGTGTCTGTGCACGGAGCGGGGCCCAAGGACATGGCTTCCTCAGGGTGTCCTCACCCACTGGCAACCTTGAAGAAGCGGTGAGAGCTTTGAGCTCAAGCTCACTCGCCCCAGGACAGCTGGGGTCAGACTCAGTGCTGCTGGGCACCCCTGGTTCACGTGGTCCCCGAAATCCTGACACCAAGACGTGCTCTGTGAGTGCACTGGTACCCCAGCCCAGGCAGCCCAGCCACGTCTGGAGAGCAAGGCTCAGTCTCAGCTCTGGCTGACAACAGACACAGGCAGGCCAGTGGGGTTCCCGAGCCCTCAGAAGCCAGCAGGCGAGCAAGGGAGGACACTGCCCCAGCCCACCTGGGCAGGGGAGGAGGAAGGCTGAGCAGAAGCAAAGGAAGGCACACCGCACGGACTGCCTGCACCTGGACACCTGCACAGCATGCACTGCCAGACACCTGCCTCTCTGCTGCCGGCAGAGACATCCAGAAGCTGCCTTCCTCGGGGAAGGCCTGTGCCAGGCCCCAGGATGGGGACAGGGCTGAGAGTCTTGGGATGCGCGGGACTGGAGTGGACCGGACTGTGTCAGACACGCACAGGTGCAGCACAAGCGGGAGTCTGCCAGGGACGGCGGGCACCAGCGCAGACACGCCCACAGAAAGGTGCACACACAGGCCGTGCCAGCATACAGAGCCGGCACACGGGCGCCTGCAGGGGCCCTGACTAGCAGCAGCGCCCTCCGCACCAGAAGCCGGGCTTGTCAAAGCACCAGCCTGAGGCTGAAACAGCAGGCAGCCAGCTGCACTGACCAGGGCTGAGGGAGGGAAGGTAACCAGGCAGGGGGCTGTGTCATCTGGGGGGAACCACAGGGGAGACATGTGCAACCACATCCCCCACCAGGCCCAGGGGGGAGTGATGAATGTTAGCTGGCTCCCACTGGGCACAGCCTGGAGAGAGAGCTATCCTGCTGGGGCACCAACCTGCTGAGAAGGGCACCAGCTGCTCCCCCAC